GTTTCTAAATGCATGCGCACACAGAGAGAGAGAGAGAGAGAGAGAGAGAGAGAGAGAGAGAGAGAGAGAGAGAGAGAGAGAGAGAGAGAGCTGGCCAGTTTAGCAGAGTGCCACAGGAAACTGTCCAGGATACTCTCTCTATCTATCTCTCTATCTGTCTCTATCTCTTCCCCCGTGCTTTTCCAAATGTGCAATTTGAGAATGAATCTTCCGCGACAAAGCAGGAAGATTCATTCTCATTTGACACATTGGAAAGTAGAATGTCCTCTTTTTTTTTGGTTGGAAATCATATAGCTTTTATTGTATCAATTCAAACCCGGAGGTATCCTGGCAGCATCAGCCAGCTTAGCTTCCGGGCGTAGTGCTGCCCAATTCCTTCTTCCAAAAACACAGACAACAGAGGCCAGCAAATATCTAGGAATAGAAATGGCCAACCCTGGACCGATGCCCTGAAATCCTAGCCCCGGAAAAAAAGTGCCACAGCCCAACAGATGCTGAACAAACCCAAAAGTGAACTAACCTAAAACAAAGGCGCCACAGGCCCAAGAGACCAAACAAACCATACAAAAGGACACTCCTAATTATACCTACCTAATTAAGTAACTCACTGTCTTTCTATTCTTACCTCTGCCTAAGACGGCAGGCCGGACCAGTTGGACCGGTGTCAATGTCTTACGCTTCCCCCTCAAACCAGCTCCCACTGCCTTCCTCCTGTGGAATCGAAAAAAAAAAAAAAAAAAAAAAAAAAAAAAGGAACCGAGCAACCAGTTCGTAGACTATCTATTTGGCCAAAAAACACTCGGCCATAACTAACTTGCCATTCTCCACTTTTGTCAACTTTCCACCTAAGCCCCTACCGTCTTCCCCCAAACATAACGCACCCTAAAAATGAATGTATACAAGCTATATTTCCGGCCAGATACAGCCAAAATGAGGGTGCGTTGTGTTCGGGGGAAGACGGTAGTCTCTCTGAGCCACCTTGTCGAATTTCCCCGGCTTTTTCTTCTCCAATCTGCCTGGACCAGTCTACAGAAGGATGTTTTGAACAATCCCCTTATTTCCTTGTTCGTCATTTTTCGTTCTTCGAAAATTTGCAGGTTCCTTTCCTTCCAAATCACTTCACAGCCAACTGCTGGTGTAGCCTGAGCGATATAACCCCAACCCTTTTTTTTTCTTTTCTTTCTTTTCTGTATCAGGCCTGAAGGGTTGGTCTAATGGGGTGAGATCTAGGCAACTGCAGCGTCCATAGGGTTTTCTGCTGCCAGCTGCAATGCACCACTCCGCGGGCGACTGCCCTTTTTCCCAAATGGGAAAGAGGAGGACGCTAAATCCCTCGAGTGGTCCCTCGAGCGTATGAAAGCTAACCCAAGGACGCTTTCCCGAAAGACGCATAATGTAACGTTATTTTTATTGCCTACGACCACTAGTAGTCCTAAGATCCTACTGTTCTATCATCCTATCTGTCCTCGACGGCAACAAATCCCCCTTCGAAAACATTCAAAATAGACAGAGCAAAACGACAACCTCCCAGAATCTACGGGAATAAACTGAAATCAGAAGAAAACAACTGAAAAAAAAGCAACCCGATTTTAAGCTGATGTTAGGGCCTCGCCACACCAATGTAGAAAACTGATTTTTCGACATTTTCTGCAAAAAAAATTCAGGAGCTGTCAGGGAAAGGGTTTCGACACCTCCTGTCGAGAAGGGCTGGTTTCCACTTCAGGCGTGCAACTTGGACATTTTCAACAGTCCTCCGATGGGATGTCGAATTCTTGCCCGAATGTCGAAAAAGAGAACGCACCAACGCTTGTCCTATCTTCACCCCAGTTTGTCTCTTTTGTGCATACGACTGGTGAGTTCTTCACTTGGACATGCGGTGTGGCGAAGAGGGGTTTTCTGTCGAAAGAGGGAATGTCGAAAATCTCCTGACATATGTCGAATTTCGTGATGTTTCGACGTTGGTGTGGCGAGGCCCTTAGGGCGTCGTTCGACACTCCTCGGGGCATCCTCGGGCTCCGA